AAAAATAATAAATATTTGTTTTACAGTTGTTACATATTAATAGGGTAGCGCGAAATTTTTAACCTTTTTTTTAAATAATAGACTGCGTCATTTTTTAATCAACGCGTTTTATAAATTTGCAGCCCTGTTACTAGCTTGTAAAATATTTAAAATTAAACTAATGATTTCCACATACTTATCTGATATCTATTAGTTATGAACATAATGACGTCCGATGGAGGCTATTATCATATGTCAGTTATATGAAATTACCGATTCATAAATGTGTTTATCAGTCGAAAAAAGTGTGGGAAGATACTCATCAAGGAATTACAGTCGATGTAGGCTATGACGAATAGTAGTTTATGCGAATATAACGGAATGACTCCATTGTCCGCATTCACGCGTAATGATAAATATAACACAGATTTTAAATACATACATACATACATAATAAATATTTGTTTTACAGTTGTTACATATTAATAGGGTAGCGCGAAATTTTTAACCTTTTTTTTTAAATAATAGACTGCGTCATTTTTTAATCAACGCGTTTTATAAATTTGCAGCCCTGTTACTAGCTTGTAAAATATTTAAAATTAAACTAATGATTTCCACATACTTATCTGATATCTATTAATTATGAACATAATGACGTCCGATGGAGGCTATTATCATATGACAGTTATATGAAATTACCGATTCATAAATGTGTTTATCAGTCGAAAAAAGTGTGGGAAGGTACTCATCAAGGAATTACAGTCTATGTAGGCTATGACGAATAGTAGTTTATGCGAATATAACGGAATGACTCCATTGTCCGCATTCACGCGTAATGATAAATATAACAAAAAACTTGGATAATGGATAAACATAAGTTCTTAAAAGCACAAAAAAACTTGAATTGATTTTTAATAAAATTTGTTTATATTACAAGGTGCTGCACCCACCCACATTAATGTCCAAAAAAGTTTACATGTAGAGTAGAAACATGTAAACGTGTATTCATTATCACGTGTTGAAGTTATAATAAAAAAATTAGTCTATTTTTATATTTAAAAGATTATTAACACCTTCAACAAATCGTTAAACAGTTGGATGTGCGTATGGCGGAGACCCCGTTGCTACACAGGTACAAAACAAAATAGTCTAAATATTTATCTTATATTTATATTTTTGTTTTTTTTTTTTTTTTTTTTGTTCTGGAGAAAATAAAAATCAACAGCTAGTCATAAAGGTAATAGAAAAGTTATACGCTCGAGGAAAAATGTTTTGTTCATGAATAGAAATTTATGTACCAAAAACAAAAAAAAGGATAAAATTCGAATTACCAATAATTGTACAATCTTTATAAAAACTTTTATAATTTAGAGGGAACAGCCATGTAATATTATTAATGATAACTTCGGAATAATTGAGATGAACAATTTGGACAACCCTTTGAACTAAATACTTTTATTATTAATTCCATATAAATTTTAGGTTTGTCGACGTAATTACCTTTTTTGAAAGTAAGAGATATTCTTCTTCAAAATTACAAAAAGTAAAAAAGACAATATTTTGTAAAAATGTTTAAATGTATAAATGCAATCATTAAAATACTTCAGAATTCATAAAAACATACTACTTAAGATAATGAAAAAATAATAGATTAGAAAATATATTATCTGTAACTAACATTAAAATTAATATAAGTTGTGTCTGTTTACTTTTCAATAACTTTTACTCACTAAATTAATTTGGGAGGGTGATTCAACTATTTTCTCGTGTATGACAGATATATGTCAATAGCTCACTGATGTTGCACTATTTTAATTATGTTTGTGTGTTGTTGTGGTAGCTGCTTTTATTGCTGTGTATTTCCCCTGTTAAATCTGATAGGGGATTATAGATACCAAGAAACGGCTCTGATTGGTTTTAACATGGCGAAGCCCAGGCTTTTCTTGGTCTCAATTTCGTCTCTATTGTGGACACAGATCTCCCCGAGGTGTCACCTGCGGTAACTATTTGACGACCCCCGCAAACGTATAAAGGACCACGATCTGCACTTTGAATGTGCGCACGTTGTACGGAACAGGCGCAGTTTTCGCTTTGGCAGATGTACAAAGCCGCTATTATTGCCTTACAGGAAATGCGATGGAGAGGGACTGGCGTATGCAAATCAGATGATTACGCCCTGTAATATAGCTGCCATGAAACAAGACATGAGTCTGGTTAATAGGAGAATAAAATACCTCGTCTTCATATCCACTCCAGTAGATGAGCGAATTGCTATAATCCGTATAAAACCGAAGTTCTTCTACATCAGACTTTTTTGTACCCATGTTCCGACGGAAGACAAAGATGAACAGACCAAAGACATATTTTATGAGCCTTCTAGGCGCTCATATGGCCGCTGCCCTGGTCATGACATTAAGAGAACATCTTTTTGGCAAATTGGCCATGTTGTGATAGACGGAAGGCATTCGTCCAGTGTTTTAGACGTGCGATCGATACGAGGAGCGAATATCGATTCGGACCATTACCTTGTGGCAGCCAAGGTCGCACCCGTCTTAATGTAGAAACCCATGATACGATCAGAAAATCCATGGTTCGATCCGGAGCTAACGATGTGAAAAACGAGGCAGCCACCCTGGAGGCAGTAGCAACACATAATGCGATGTCAAACAAGGTGACAGTTTGTCCTGTAACCTGTTTAACATCCTGCTGGAAAAGTTGATTCGAGATACAAATGTGAAAAGAAATGACACTCTGTACACCAAAAACTCATATGGATCGAACATTGCGAGCGGTAACATATGGGACTAGCAGTAAATGGCGAGAAGACCAAGCTGATGATATCAACGCGCAAGACGTCCAGTTGATTCGAACCAACTGTGGAACTTGAAAACTACTACAAGCCATAAACAAAACTAATAACATCAGCTTTGAAATCCGGAGGAGAATAGTAAGCAATTCAAAAGCAAGACCACCTTTCGCCAGACTAAACCCGCAATCTACAAGACGCTGATACTTCCCGTGCTGTTGTAAGGATCTAAAGCATGGGTACTTGCGCAAACAGATGAGGCAGCTCTTGGAGTGTTTGAGAGAAAAATTGTCCGGAAGATCTATGGGCCCATCTGCGTCGACGGTGAATATCCATGAAACCTATACCATCTATTCTCAGACATCGACATATTAAGGGAACCCCACCCATTCTCGATTTTAATTTTTCAAGATTTTCAATGGGCTGGTAAATCAATACCAATGCTTGTTAAGGTTTGTAACTTTGCACATATATAATTGAAGATTTAAAAGAGAAGAAAAATAATTTACCAAAAAATTTTGTTGTTGTTTTGTTGTTGTTTTTTGTAATTAAAGAAAAGTCCTTATTTTTGATGGCGGGCATGATAACTCCTCACTGGAACATCGGAATCCGAAAATTCCAACGGCGTTAGAAAGAGTACATGTCTGGCTCTCGTATGAACTAGGATTATTGACTTCGCTCTAAAATTAACAAAATGGTGGACCTTTGAAAAAATATTTTTGAAAAATAGTCGATTTTTTACCAAAAACCAAGTTAAAAAATAAGGAAGATCTTCACCGATTAGCTTTATCCTAGTTCATACGCCATTCGCAAAAAAATGTTTAGAGAAAAACGCATTTAAAGTTTGAGAAGCCCTTCAGCCGTCACTTGATGCTGACACAATAAATCGGATATATCTTCAACAGTTCTTAAGATTTTCACTTGAAATTTTGTAGAGACATTCTTTAATCAGTGTAGATTCGAATTATATCAACAAAAATTTTGACCCCGAGAATGGGGGGGGGGTCCCCTTAAGAGAGATCGAGCTGCAGCAACTACGTTGGCTAGGTTATGTTCTGAGAATGGATGAGGATGCCCCAGTTCAAAAGGCATATAAAAGCGAGCCAAGTGATGAATAATCCAGAAGAGGACGACCACGAATCCGATGGAAAGATCAAGTAGAAGACAACATCTCGGAACATGGTTTTTCAAATTGGATGAGATCCGCACAAGGCCGACGCGCCTGGAAACATTTTTTATGCTCGGCTTATGGAACAACTGTTCTGTCACAAGTAAGTAAGAATGTTTTCTTTATGAAGGAGGTTATATAAATTTCTGACTGTCCGAACTTATATTTTCGAGTGTTGTTTCTATCTATTTATGCAGCGAAAGCAAACCCACTCCCCACCCCCAAAAAAAACTATTTGTGTTTATATAAAACATACCCTTCCACACCCTACCTGTTAGTCAAAAACAACAACAAAAGAAAGAAAAAACAACAACATTTTTTTTTTTTGACAGAGAAAATAAAATTTTCAACATTTATATTTTCATAGATTCTCTAAACAAAAATATACAAAAAATATACTCATCGAATACAAGAATATCGACCCGATACTACTGAAATGTAAACAAAATAGTTTTACCGCCGACCGGCCGATCGACCGACGGACATTATGCCTGGAAAAATAGTCAGATATTTTGTTCCATTTAACACATTCAATAGTGTGGCTCTGCTGCCGGCAGCTGTCGATGGTGTTGATTTGAAAGTAGAAAATATTCTATTCTATATCGAATAGTAGGATACGGGTCGCAACGTAACGGCCGCATAATATATGAACTGAAAGTAAATTTAGTTGTTGTTGTTTTTATTTTATAGTTTTTTTTTTAACAAATCACTAGTATTTTTCATTGAGATTTTTCTGGTTCTTGTACTTGTAGTGGATCAGATTAGCAACTGCTCTTCAGTGTGGAATTGTTGGAATGCATGCCGCAGCATGACAGACATACACACCAAATTAACACAAAATTCGAATTCTCATATCAGGGAATATAAACGTATCAATAACATGAGAATATGTATGTACGTACGGTTGTTTTGTATTGAATGAACGATATGAAAGAATTTTTCGTCTTCAGTTGCGGCCAGTCCATCGATCGGTATAGATCGTGATAATATCGTAATTGAAGTGAGGAAAAGTGCCAAAAAAAAAATTAGTAAAACTTTATCGCCAATATGAATACATCCTCACCGCGTTTACAAAATCGGGCGCGTATTGCTCCAGCACCGGATACAATGCGTTTTCCCCCATCGACCGATATTCGTTCGCATACAATAACAATACCGCCAACCGAACCGAATCGTACATATCAAGGATTAAAAACGTGTAGGTTTTAAAGAGGAGGAAATGTTTGTTATTTTTAAATTTTTGGCATTATTAAATATTTTTAGATGTGCTAAATTTTATAATTAAAAGTGTATTTAAAAAAATATTGTTTATCACAAAATCTATCTGCGGAATATGCATTTATTTGCATATTTATTTATTTTTCTAACAAAGAAATTCTGGAAATCGCAATTGAATATTTATCCAAACATAAACAATTTTTATTAAAAAAATCGCCTATAGAAATAAACAAGTAAAACCCCTGTTAAATATCGTCTCCGCCATTCGACAAACATTAAAAATACGAAAAATCGATCGGGAAAATCGATGGGGAAAAAAGTTTAGAAAAATTTTAAATGTCCTGAAAAAAATTGTCACTCACCAATGCCGCGAATGCCAAATTAAAACTCAAATTTTAAATTTGACTTCTAAGGTAACTCGCCTGAAAAATATACAGGGTGAAATAAAAAAAACTGCAACAAAGTCAAACTCCATATTTTTTTCAATTTTTTATTTTTTTAATTTTATCGAATGAAAGCATAAAATGTCGGAAATAGCATCAAATTTTAGAATAAGTTCAGATTTGTTCGAATTGGTCACCTCTGGCACGAATTATGGCCTTCAAACGACAAATGAAACCACACGCTGCCCGAATATTGCTCTGCGGTATTTTGGCCCATTCCCGTCGAAGCGCTTGCTTGAGATGATCGACACTTTGGTATTTTTTAGTGCCAACCTTGTTTTCCAAAATACTCCAGACACAATAGTCCAACGGATTGGTATCCGGAGATTTTGGTGGCCATTGTGCGCTGGAAATAAAGCGAGGAACCTCATTTTTGTAACCTTGGGCGGCGCGTGCTGAGTGCGATGGTGCTGAGTCCTTTTGGAATGTCCAAGGTCTGCGGCCAAAATGTTTGCGACCCCAAGGCTTTAATACACCCTCCAGAATATTTTCACGATAATATTCGGCATTTATTATGGCCTTCAACGACCAATGAAACCACACGCTGCCCGAATGTTGCTCTGTGGTATTTCGGCCGTTCCCGGCGAAGCACTTGTTTGAGGTGATCGACACTTTGGTCTTCTTTTGTGCCAACCTTGCTTTCCCAAATTCTACAGTCACAATAGTCCAACGGATTGGTATCCGGAGATTTTGGTGGCCATTGTGCGCTGGATATGAAGCGAAGAACCTCAATTTGTTACCATTCTTGGGTGGCGCGCACTGAGTGCGATGTTTGCGCACTATCACCATGGCCGGCGCTTAAGTTTTGGTGGCCAACCGAAGATGCACATTTGCAGCTGACCTCTTTGGCGAGTAAACACGATAATTTTGTTTGTTTACAAATTGCTGGACAACACATGTTTTTTCGTCGGAGAAAACCAAATTCGGCCAAGCGAAGCAACTCTTTAGCTCTTTTGAGTCTATTTTCTTTCTGTTGCGGTGTAAGTTCTTGCACTTTTTGGAATTTCAATGGCTTTACCCCGAGCTAATTTTTTAATATTCTGCTGATGTTGCTGTTTTCTTCCGTCCACTTCCTTGACGTCGGGCTAGGCTACCAGAATCACGGTAACGAGCGACGGTACGAGACACAAAAGATTTATTCACAGCCAAATATAATGAAATAACACTCTCACGCTCGAAATCCGTTACGAATAACTTTTTTCTGGAAAATTCTCACCGACAAGCTTCTGTACGCTTGTAAACAATATAATGAGCTGTCGCTGGAATAATTTTAACAGCTGTCGGACGAGTGGCTTAGAAATGACAACAGTCTTAAGTTGGTTGCAGTTTTTTCATCTCACCCTGTATATAAATAGTATATGGTGGCTCTATCTGACATTGGACCGATATTGGCATTTTTTAATAGGAAAGAGAGAGTGGACCAGAAATATAAGATTCTACCAAGGATTCTAAGATTCTAAAAATAGGGGTACTGTTATATCAAAACGTGGACCTATATTAATTATTTTTTGACCGAAAGATTTTTCTATTATAAAAGAATCAAGAATGATATTACATTCAATTTAGTGGAAAAAGGCGCCCAACCTAACGAATAATGGGCGGTGGCATGGGCCTTCTGCCAAACTTAAGCCAACATTTAAAACTTTTTGGAAATAAGATTTTCTAGCCCCTTAAAACCATAATACTAAGCTACAGCCAATTTAAATAAAAAAACGTTTAATAATATTGGGCATTAACAGCCCTACAAGAACCCAAATTTAAATTACAATCAATTCGTTTGAAAAACATGTCCAAGCTTACCAAAATACCTGAATTCCCTTAAATACCACATTACAGCAAAAATGGCGCCCAAACTTGCCACCCAATAACAACCAAAAATCATCATAGGGTACAAAATGCAAACTTCTGTATGGAGGCTATACCAAAACATGCAACGATAACCCAATTTTCAATGTGCAATGTTTGTGCAAAATTTCAATGCTCTATTTATTCTAAATATTGCGAGCTCTTTTGTGATTCCCACAAATAGGAATGGATAAATCGCACGTTTAATAATATTGGACATTAATAATATTGGGCATTAACAGCCCTACAAGAACCCAAATTCTAATTACAATCAATTCGTTTGAAAAACATGTCCAAGCTTACCAAAATACCTGAATTCCCTTAAATACCACATTACAGCAAAAATGGCGCCCAAACTTGCCACCCAATAACAACCAAAAATCATCATAGGGTACAAAATGCAAACTTCTGTATGGAGGCTATACCAAAACATGCAACGATAACCCAATTTTCAATGTGCAATGTTTGTGCAAAATTTCAATGCTCTATTTATTCTAAATATTGCGAGCTCTTTTGTGATTCCCACCATTTTGGGTTCAAAAAAATTTTTTTTTATATTTAATTAATTTGAACCTACAATTTTTCAAGAATGTCTATTTAAAATTGAAAAATCTCAACGACTCTTGGAGATATAATCGATTTATTGTTTAAGCGGCAGGTGGCGGCTATCGATCTACATACAATAGTCGACCAAAGACTTGCATCAAAGAGCAACCAGTGACTATCGATAATCCTACGGATAATCCTAAGGATCAGATTTGTTGATGATTGCTACTTGAATATCATCGTTAGCAGCTACCGTGGTCGATCTGTCGTATGGCTTCTTCTGCTTTTGACCATGAACTTTGGAGTTAGCTTTTCCAGAGGAGGTTGATGCCTTCTCTGTAATAGGTTTCTTCCCTGCAGTGTGCTCAACGACAGCCGCACAAGAGGTCATTGGTTCAGTCAGACGTGATCGTCATCGTCTTCTTGGGTAAAGGCTGTGGACCTTCTGATGAGCGAATGCGTTTCACAGGTTTGTTCAGCGGGTCAGTATTCGCTGTTCGAGAAGATCATGGTTCCTTGCCGGACTTGCTCTTCTTCATATTCCGACCAACAGTGGGGCTACTAACGCCTTAACACCAACCGCTTCACCTTTGTCAATTGGCGTAGAATCGGGCTTTGAGACAGAGCCCTCCACATGTCGATCACCCTTATGGACGACAGGCTGCTCAACCGCATTTTCCACTGCCTTTTGACTCGAGTTAGGCTTCAGATCAGAAGTCAGCTTCCCACATTTGTCAGAGACAGGGGGATTTGCCGACTCTACTACTTTGCTTGGTTCTGAGGTCTCTTTGGATATTTTTGACCGAGCCGTTTGTTTCGGGAGGGAGATCCTGTCCATCTGTGCGGGTAAGTTCTTTCGAACTTCCTTACGAATTTCATCTTGCCCTTGATGAGATGAACCTCCCTCTCCGAAAGCAAATTCGAATCTCGCCCTACGAATTTGTGGAAATAAGATACGGCACGTTTATAGTGCCGGATGCCGGATGCTTCTCGGGCAGTTCCGACCTTTGTCACGTTCCCGCTCCAGTTCTCCATATTCTGTGGTCATCCTGAATATTGCGTATGCACTCCTTTTTGGCTTATCGATATTTCGGATTACGTCGTTTTATAGATTGATCCAAGGTGCCAGGTTCCCTCTCAAGTTCTCTATTTTCTGTGTCTATCCTGCATATTGCGTGCACTTCATAGATGTACTTAATAGACGATCTCTAAACCTTTATTGAATACCAGATTGTTTTAATAAAATATCATATTTTTTATACGAACAGAAGTCTATTGTCTTCATAAACGGACTTATGGGGAGCCTTTATAGAGGACCTGCATACATTATGCATAGGCGAGTAAATTTGAGTATATATGGGAAATTACAAAAATCTTTTAAATTCCTTGAAGCTGAGGTTTGCAAGGTTATAACTCGCGAAATATGAACATATTGCATATAATTTAAATTCAATTCTATAAAATGAAGTGTTCTTGTCAAAATCTTAAAATATTGGTAATAAATAATAAGTTGCGTGGAAGCTGTGATGGTGGTAATGTAAAAAAATGGGTGAAAATGTGTTGAAGCCAACGAGTTTTTTTGTGTTCGTTCCCGATTTGTGGCTAAACTACACAACGCACGCACATGTGATCAGTGACTATGTTGCAGAATACCCCATGGACAATATGGTTCTAATGTATGATTTTTCGATATAATCACTGCATCCACCCAAAATGGATGCTGACATTTTGAAGCCGGATTTTCGGTGTTTTTTGAATTTTTCTTATAATTAGGATGCGCATCCAGATAATAGAATAAACTAATTATAGGATCGTAGAACTCGTGATTCTGCTTCGTTTAGTGTATATCTCATGAATGTGCTCACTGTAGCTTCTTTGCAATTGGGTTTCAAAGACGAAAATTTAGTGCGTAAATTTTTATAAAAAACATATTTTTTGAGTCTAAAATTAAGAAAGTCCATTCAAATTCCGTGGAACCCCGCGTGATTTTAGTTTTTTTACGTGCCGGATCTAATGAGCCCATCCATGTTCAATTCCGCCAAATAAAACGGCGGATACAGGTACCTTGAATGTGGGAAAAACTGCAAAAACTTATTTTGATAAATTCGCGTAAATAATCGCGGTTTTCTTCGAATTAATTTTACAT